TGCTCTCCTTGAAATCTTTGGGGATCTTTCCTGTAGTGTATATATTATTCAATAATTTAAATTGCTCATTTTGTAATGCTGCACTCGCATTTTAGATGAGTTTCATTGCTATGTCGTATATACCTGCTGATTTACATGTTTCCATTAGCTTCAACGTTTTATTGGACTTGTCTCTTAAGATGACCCCCTCCCCTGCATATCTGAGTTATTTTTATTATTGATATTGGCTGTTTCTCCTTTTTGGTATAAAAATTCAAGAAAATATTTTCGTCTTGTTGCTATTTTGTTGTTGTCTAGTATCAAGTTTCCATCCACATTTCTTATTTTGATATTTAGTTTCCTTTTTCAACCGAAAAATTTCTTAATTATGTTAAACGCTAGATCCATTCAATTATTTCTAAGCAAATGTTCCACTTTTTGTCACTTTTCTTATACCAATTTCGCTTCTCTATATATTTTATTCTTTAGCTTTTTATACCTCCGTGTTTCATGATTATCCTCGGTATTTTTATACTTTCTTTTCTCTTCAATATCTCTTATAATGTAATCGTGTATCTGTTACGGCTAGTGTTAGGAATATTGCTAAACTCAAGTTTAGCCACTGCTTTTGGTTAATATCTAAATTTCAGTCTTTATCCACCAATATTTAACATTATCCAGTTGCATATGGCTAATGTTTAAATAACATTATCCATATAATTAATTAAACGGTTTATGTCGTACAAAAATTCTTTAATTTCTTCTCTTATTCAATAATATTTAATAATATCAATCTTATTTAATAATATCATAGATTATAGAATAGTTTTGATAATAATAGAATACAATTATTATTAAGAATTATTTAGTTAATGATAATATGTACCTATTTTTATTTTATAGATTTACGGCAACTTTTCATGACAGTGGTAATGTAATTTATGGGTGGCATGACTTTTCTTACTTAATAGTCTGTAAACGGTTCAATAATTTTCTCGAGAATGGTAGGACCCCTATCAATAGTTAATTCTGAGATAAATATTACGGTCTCATCTAAAAATTCTTCAAAATTTTTATTTTTATATATTTTTAAATTCCATGAACTTATTATCAAATGCGATATTTTACAAAAATATTTTTCTGGTCTTGAAAATCAAAATTAACTTAATTGGGATAAACGAAAAAATAATATATTAGTTTCAATTTAATTTGTAAGGAAATGAGTTAAGTTAAGTTAATTTATGAGTGATGAAATAAGTTAATTTCACTTAACTTTTAACTTATTAACTCCCAGGCTTGAAAACAAGATATACCGACAAAGTACTAGAAGCTGGTATCTTAACTACTTATAAACTTGAGTCAGTAATTATGGTAGATTATTACGAACTTTCTCTATGGAGCACACAATATTGTATATTAAAAATTACAATTTTAAAATATTATGTTATTATTGTAAATAGTTTTAAATTTTTAATTTACCTATGGCTAATGTTATTTAGTCATTAACCGATAAAGGTTGGATAATATTGGTTTTATTGGCTAGTGTTAAGATTATCTATTTGTTTTTGGTGGCTAAAATCCGAAATTTTGACATTAGCCAAAAGTATTGTCTGAACTTAAGATTAGCCGTACTTCGGAAACTAGCCGTAACATATCCATGTTTTCTTAGGCTCTGGTAGGTTTCCTTTCTAAGTCTTACCTCCTGCTTCATATATTACATTATTTATTTTATTTGATTTATTTTCATTGGTATCACTTGGAAATGGCGGGTTACTATTAATTTGTCATTGATGTAGGATGTGTAGGCTATTTTTATGTTATTATCTTTTAACATTTTTAAATCATATTTTCTGGTTTTTTGGGTTATTCTTGTTAGTTTCTTTACACTACATTACATTTCATCATGAGGAGATTCAGGTCGCATCACGTCTGCGCCTGAGTATGTTTTGCATCTATATATCTGATTTCTGAACCTCTTTCTCACTATTGTAATGAGCCGGTCTGATCAGTACTGACTCATTACGCTTTATGATGAAGTCGCCTCTTGTTGCAGTTAATTACACGTCCGTTAAAGTAAAATAAAAAAAAAAAAACACTGTTGAAGTTATACATGTGAATTTATTATATTACTGAGACACAACATAAAGTTAGCCCGATAAGTTAACATTTGTAAGTTTAACCGTATCAGTCTACTCTTAAGTATGGTTACATTGTATCTAATTAAACATTTACACTACGTCCCTATTTATACGCAAATAGTTGGGCGTAGTGCGTAAAAGCAGTTTAGAACAAGGAAAAGACTCAAGGCTTTTCGTTGTTCTTTACAAACAAAAATAATATTAATCTTTTAAAAATTTATATGAAAACAACTATCGCCGTTTAACTTGTTAGTTAATATAACCAAAATAATAATAATATTCTTACTATCTAATATACCCGTTTAATATATTAACTAATAAACCGTTTCCAAATATGAAATTATTTTAATAGATAGTTGTTTTTTACAACGCTCAAGGAAAATAGGTTAAGGAAAAGATTACAAAGTAATTTAAGATATGTAGTAGTGACCTCGGTTATTATACTCTGTTATAGTTGATTTTATGTCTTTGGATATCCTCTGGAATTTTCCAAATATTCTGAATTATTATAATTATTATTTTTATGTGTATATGTGTTTGGCGTCCTTATTGCATTGCCCTTCATTTGCATCTTCAATAGGTAATAATGACATAGCTTTAATCGATTTATTTTGCAGTCACTCTTGTTGCGGTAATTGATAACAAAGCTATTATTCTACATCCCGAGTATCACGCAAATGTGGGCTGTAGACCAGTAATCGCTTGTTTCTCACCCCTTATATCTAGACCTGCAGGTTTCGTCACTTGGTTCATTGTAAATGCGTGGGACAGTTTCTCGTGATGTCGTTTAATTAAACTAAACGTGTTTTTAAATACTCAAATATAGGTGAGTTTACAGTGTATGAAATATATTCTGAGAGTGTTTGGAATACCAACAACGAATATTTAACGATGCGTATATGTACTAAATAAATTTAATTACTCAAAATAAAATCAAACATGAAGGAGTTAAATTAAATTTACGATATAATTAGTCCGTATACAAACATAATTGTACGCAAAAGACTATATAAACACTATATAGATATAAATCTATATATATATATATATATATATATATATATATAACCATATAAATCAGATGAGTTGAAAATAATACATAGACTGGTGCGGCCGGGATCGTGATCGATAATATGCAAATACCTTTAATTGAAGCGTGAAATAATGTTATATGTAACGTTTTAATTGTTAGAAATGGTTTTAAAAGTTGCTCGGCTAATAATGACACGTTGCTAACACGAGGTGCGTTCGGAGACTAATTTTCTCGAGGGCCCGGGGAGCCTTTTCCTCACCTTAATTTACACTATTGACCTGCAACAATGATACATTACTGTACGTCGTCCTGTCATTCACGCGATACCCATGACAGACCGTTTTGGCCGTTCGACGTTTAACAGTGCGCCTGCGCATCTAAATCAAGTTCAACAGATTTCTATCGTGAAAACTGTCTTTAACGTACACCACCTTGTGATCATTAATTTTTTCATGTGCATTTTAAATCAGTGGCCTTTACATGGATGCAGCCACTATACGTCGCTTAAATCCTTGGCATTCAACTTGATAAAATAAGTTTTCAGCAATCGGAACAACTGCTACTATACCGTTACATTTTTATCGTTAAAAACTTGTTTTTATCGAATAGACGTTTAAAATACGATGGAGTGTCCGTTATATTTTTAAATCGATTCTACAATGAATGTATATAAATTTCGCGACAAATAAAACGTATCGACAAAAAATGTGTTTCCTCAATAGCTAACATCTATCGATCGATTTAAAGTTAAATCACTAATCGATTGCAATGCGTTTTTTAAGCATCTTACAGCTACTTGTACATTGCTGAACCGAAGCATTAGCTATTATAATTTTATCATTATAGTGCCACGCAGAATGTACTTAATAAGTACATAATTATATACTTATTAATTATTAATACATAAGTATGTAATGTATTTAATAAATGAATAATATTACGCGTTGAAGTACATCCGCACATGAGTACACATGCACGTAAGAGTTCAACAATGGGAATGTCGTCAAATACTGTACGATATCGGTTCTTAAACGCGAGAGTAACTATATGGGCACTGCGGACATGTCAGAATTATATCAAATTCGACCAGAATTGTTACTCAAACTGTAACAATTTTCGTATGTTAATAGAATTTCGCATTCATTCCTTTCCGTCAAACTAAATATTGAAATACTGGTAAAGTAAAAAATAAAAATACGTAGTTAACGTTAAAACATATAAATAGTAATTTCACTAAATAATTTTTTTATTATATTTACACAGAATACGAATTATATAGAAAATCCTAGTCGTAACATTTTTATAATTAGTGGTTAAAATTGACGTTACTGATTTCTTAGGCTCTGTCAGAAAATATCTTTTTAAATCTCTGCTAAACGTGTACGAATAACGTTACAGTGTTACGATAAAATATGTCCATTAAAACCCGTTTAGAAAAACAATTTTTTGATTTCGATCATGACAAATGTTCCTGAAGAAACTGAATGCCCTTTTTTTCATGTTTATGGGTCGATTTTAAATTATAAAAACCAACAGAACTCTGATTCTTCCAACGTGGATGATAGGAGCACTTATTATTTCATTACCCGTCGATTATGTTTCACATCGACTAAACATTGTTTTCTGTAGTAGATTGAAAAATATTCAATTACAAAATCATGTTTATTTTGATCTAGTTGAATAGGTTTTTTTTCTTTACGGAACACACTAATAATATATATAAATATATATATATTTCTTGATATCTTAAGCGTTGTTTTCAAAATTCATAATTCGTAGCACCAGATTTCATTATTCGTCTAAAATCAAAATTTGTACATTTCGTTCATAACGCGTCCGTTTCTTTTCAGAAGAGGTATTGTCAAAAACCGTTTTCGCGCCTAAATATGAGTTCCCAGACCCAGTGAGCGCTGGTTCATCCACACGGAACAACATGGCACACGGTATTGCAGTGGACTCCAGCACGTGGTCTGCGTTGATCGTCATCGCCACCGTTGTAGCAGTTAGCTGTTCAGGTAAGAACGAATAAAAATAAATCGTAAACCCTCTTGGACTGCAAACATATCATTGTTACATAATATACAGCCAATTGTGCGTACCCACTGTACAATCATACGTAATTATTATATCAATGCGATGTAAAAATAAATCATGTAACGTTCCAATCTAAAGTGGATTTATACCTCAGTATTGTAAATGGTAGTGTAAAATGGTAGCAGCCAAAAATACTACTAATGTTAATGTTGGTGATTTGTATACTTCTTAAAAATGTAGTAAATCTGTTATTTTGCAACATTATAATAAAATTACACATTAATGTTTTCCATCATAAAACGAAAAAAAATAAACTTTCAATTTTGGTTTCATATCTGAGATTCGAACTCACAACACCTCGTCTAGTGGTTTAAAGACCTACGACTAGTCTGATCTACCTACAATTGTTATTTCGCTATCAAAAACGGGCTATCTAAATAAACGAAATATTTTTTTAAATAGGATAAATACTTCTAAATTGTTATGATTCATGAACCCTTAGTTTTTTATATTTTAATAAATAATATAAACTTTCATACTTAGTTAACTAATTATAATTCAACACAATAAAGATAAACAAATAAACAACACAATAAACAAATATAATTCAACAAAATAAAAAAAATTCAACACTAACTAATTATTTCTTATTTAATTGAAGTCAAAATAAATAACTAGGTAGGTAACTTGCATTAATAATATATTTGCATTTATTAAAAAAAATCGACTCGTAAATAACATATTTATCCATATAATTGTATTTAAATCAGGATACTAAAACGTTTTTATAACGTTACGAGTATAAGCTAAACTATTCAAAAAACTATTGAAATCGATAACAGATAACATATCGGTAAACGATAAACGATGAAAAGGGATAACGGATAACATATCGGTAAGCGATAAACGATTGAAAACGGATAACGGATAACTAAACAGAAACGAAAAATGATTAAAATTAATATCGAATAACATAACGGAACACGATTAACGATTTAAACATAAAAGAAACATATTTTTAACTATCAGTAAAATAGATTTGGAACATAGGTATTTTTGTAAAATTGACTTATATTACTACACAATTTAAGTAAAATAAATATAAAATGATGTTTAAAACAATTATGAATTTATCAACAAATAAAATATAAATAAGTATTACCAATTGTAATTTATAAATATGCTTTCTTAAACTACGTCAGATGTTGTCGACGCGGAACCCGTATGGCCTGCTTCATCAAAAATAATTTCGGTGAACACCGATGAAGCATTAGTAGTAATACACCATACATAAGTTATAAATTCACAATACATACATATTTTACGTGGTATGTGCATTTTATTGTTGTTGTACAATAAATATGATTGCTTTATGTATAAGTATGAGTTATGAGAATTACAAAAAGAAAATATCGTTAAAGGCAGGGGTGTATTGGTATGTATACACGGGTATATGACGTATACCCATTAGCAGATTTCTGATTTCAGCGTATACTTAATGTAACATATTATTTTACAGGTATACGATTCTAAAATAACTTAAAAAATAATAATAATAATAATTTAATAGTTCATCGGAAAAAATTGTTATAAACCATGAAATTGATTAAAATATTTATTTGTTGAATATTACGGCGTGCGCTGTGTTCTATAATCAATGGTAATACTTAGAAAAACGACGGATCACTATCATAATCGTATCGCACGGTCACCATAAGGGTTCACTTTATTACACCTTTCCCTCCTTTTATATCATCGAACATAACCTACTTAAAAAAATACTTATATGCTAATTTACATTTGTTTAATTTTCTTGATATTGTTTTTATTTGATTGTTTCAACTGTGTTCTATTAATTATTATACCTCTAGGTTTGTATAATAATGATGAACTAATATTTCTTCTAAAAGTCTCAGTACAGCATTTTGAGTTATTTAGTTTAATAGTTATATATTATTATAACTATTTCATTATAATTTCATCTATTACATTACATAATATTTTATAATACACAAGGTATCTCAGAAAATTTTATTTTTCTTTATGTTGTGTTATACAACATAATTTATCTAATCGAGAGCTAAATTTGCACTATTTTGTTTTATTTGTGATTATATTTTCATCATAAATGGTTATTAAGTCAACATATGAAAAAAAATTTCATTTTGGAGCAATAATCAGGTATCTCCATTTTTCTTATTTGTACTTATACAATAATATACTTAAGGTAATATAAAATATTAATATACTCGTATATACATGAAAAGTTACATCCTCATTTGGATAATTTAAATATGTTTTTAAAATATGTTTACCACCATCAGAAATTAAATTATTTGGTTATTTGTTTCTCCTGAACAATTTCAAAAAGTGTAGATATCTGCTTCTCGCACCGGACCCTTCAATTATTTTTTTTTTTTTTGTAAATTAATTAATTACTATGACACAAAGTTGTTAGAACTGCAGACATAGTGATAGTTTGAATAAACTATTAAGCACTTATATTTAATGTCACAAATTTAAGGATAAAAGGTATTTGATATTTTTTCTGTGTTAATAATAAATATTCCTCTAACTTTTGATAATAAGGGTTTGTTTGTTAATTGTGTATAGTCCAAACGTTCATTAAAAATTATAAATAGATTTCCATTTGTTGGTTTTATAATGTGTTCTACAATTATAAGTTTATTAGCATTTGATTACATTAAAATTTTTTCTTATATCAATAAAGTTTTTATTGTTATATTTTAATTATTTATTTAATTTTTTCGTGAATTGTATCAGATAAATGTTACTATGTAACATGTGTATCTACAGTAAGTTGATGAAGAGTAAGGGGTATTTTTGTTATTGTAAAAAATGCATCCGTCTGACTTTATTGGTGAGTTTTGAGGATTTTTTCCTCGAAAATAATACCATGTCAAAAATATATTTATTATTAATAATTATGAAAAATACTTGACGACACATACACTTTATCATAATCAATTGAAATTTGGTCGAATAAAATGTATCACCTTTATAGTACATCTCATACACATCTACAGAGTAATGTAACCGACAGCAATGGAACTAAACATCACCGCTATGTTTTGTAATGTTCATTGAGTTTAGGCGATCAAATTATATTGCAACTAATAAACACATGAAGGCAATAATAATCATTAACAACTATATTAATTTATTATATTTTTTCACATGGATTTCGTCCTTATTATTAAACTTTATTGCCAACCATTCTTGAAATGTTGACTATCTGAAATGTCTATCTACACTTTATGATTCCCATAAAATATCGTTATTGGAAAACGGCGTTAGGTTCTAGTATTTTTATACTTTAAGCAACATGCAGAGATTTGATAGATTTCAAAATCGCATTCAAGTATTACTGGCTACTAGTGCTCCACATGATCCGGTCCGATCCAGACTTATCGTATAAGAATAGACGAAGGATAGTTCGGTCCAGCTCCATATTTGTATGAAATATTTTGATCCGGTCATGTTTTAAACTATAATCATTTCATTTCGGTCCGGTTTCTAAAATATAAACAAATCGGTTCAGATCAGTTGGTCCCAGCTAGATGTTTACGGGCTCATTTAAAATATCCATGGAACAATAATTTTAAATTTTAAACACATTATTTATAGAATTAAGAATATGTGTATGTTAACTTATGTACTTTGTAATTATATATCTCAGATCTGTTCATGTCACTTATTAAGAAGATATTATACTGATCGTTTTCTGCGGTAAAAACCGTTTATTAATACCGAACAAATTTTCAAGAACCACGGTCACAATTATTCTCGTTATGATGCGGGTGACATGGAAGGGCTTGTGTAAAGCTGCAAATGTCAAGCCTGCTACGTCTCACTACAGAAAGTTCTATTGAGCGTCCGTTGACGATCATATTTAAAGGCATATGGGTCGCCAACCATATACCGAGACCCTTTTGGGGCCGAAGTAAATGGATTTTGATATTGTATTTAATTATATTATAAATAAAAGAAAAGGATTCAAAACAATAACGAGACTAATAATATTGATAAAATATAAATATATTGTAATAAATGTTTAAATGGAGGAGGAAAGCTCGTACGGGCGTAAAACCTCCACCTTAGCATAATGTTTATTCCAAGACATGGAGACATAGGAGACATAGATCACAACGGATAATCATAATTTATCATTTACTTCACGAGGGCCGCTGGAAGAATTTTCCACGCGCGGACTTACAAAATAATAGAAATAGTGTGTAATATACAACTGACGAATACCGGCCAAGGTATAATAATAATAATAATAATAATAAGAATATGATTTTTTGAATGATACATTACCGACCAATTGGATAATTGATGGTCGCCTCAGACGCACCGGCATGGTCCGGTCTACTCGTACATGTTGTGGACGACGAAACAGCTGCACAAAATGTGAGCCAATATAATATTTTACAGAAATATAGGAAAACTGGCTCATTGAAATAATTATAATAACAATTATAATGATTGGCCGATACTCGTTATCATATAATTATTACATGACCACCCACTAATACACTACACACAACTTGATAGAGAAGTGTGCAAAACTGAATGATCAGAGGGAATTCCAGGGTATTTTCGTCTATCGGTGTTATAAGTGATGAAGTGGTCGCGCATTTATTTAAAATGGTTATAATATTTAATGAGGAAAACCAAACACGGATCCTCATCTATTTTTGACCGTTACAAGCAGTTCAACAAAATTTCTATTTACGTTCAATGTATTATTTACTTTTCTATGCACTACATATTATTAGTTTTGTACAGTTTTTTAATAATCTATGAGCAGTTTAAATCCATACCAATAACCAATTATGTGATAAAATTCAAAACTTTTATAATTCGAATTTTCTTAGTTTTGTAAAGAAGTGTTTGTTCGCTCTATCAAATTGTATTTTATCATCGGCCCGGTCCAGCAGAAAAACAATTGGAATGT